CAGGCCCTAACATCTAAGAGTCTTGGAAACAGAGCTGCAGCTTTATCACTATTAAAAAACAGAACTGCATTGTGAAAAGTACGGTTCACGTTTGTGTCTCAGGTCACTGCACTTCCAAGCTTTCCCAAACATTAAAACCACCTTCATATACAGGCTGGTTTTATAACTTTTCTCTCGCTCCCCCCATCTTCCCATCTAATGCTAATGAAACTATGCTTTTGTGTCAAAGAATTGGAAAATAACGTATATTATCACTGGTGATGGTTTGAACACTGTAAAATGCAAAGGTATAGCAAAGAAAATAAATATTATCCAGAACCCTCCCTCCTAAGAAAATCATTGTATTTTGTGTGTGTGTGTTTGTGTGTGTGTGTGTAGGGGAGAGGGGGAGAGAGAGAGAGAGAGAGAAAGAGAGAAAGAGAGAGAGAGAGAGAGAGAGAGAGAGGACAGCAAGAGTTTTTTATCGTTTTGGATTTTGCTTTAAAAAACGTCTAACTTTGTAATGTAGATATTTTACATTCTATTAAAGACCTTGCAAATCTGTAGTTGTCTAATATTCCAGAATATCACTGCACTATAATTCAACACCTTATTGCTAGTTATAGGAAACTTTCAAGTTCTTACTACTTTTAGCCATGTTTGTGTTGATCTTTCTCAGAATCTTTTCTTAGGATGACACCGAGATATAGCATAGCTGAATGAAAGTACATCAGTTTTAAGAAGTTCTTGATATGCATTACAAAGTTGTTTATCTTGCCTATGAATTATTTATAAAAGCGTGTTAAACAGGCAATAAACAGATAATATTAGCGATTAGATATGTAAAAATAAGAATGTAGAGAAAAATTCACTTCAATATTATAATTTTATGTTTAGGAAATGAAACATACCCATTGTTTATATAATCTACACTGCAGAGATACAGGACCTCAAAAACTTTTTATCTGGTTGGATTTTGTGAAGATAGAGGGGTGTGGGTGTCTTAGTCTGGAGCTTCAGTTTTGGTTTGGCCTAGGGTGTGTTGTATGAGCTACAAGTGAGATTTTTACATTTCTTCAAAATAAATGAACAACTAAATGTTTTTAAAAAGTGAAAACACTCAGGCACATGTTCAGCCTTGTGTAAGACAATATTTTTAAAATATTTGTTTCCTCTTACTAACAGAAGTCATTTTTATATTAGGAAATAATTGAGTTTAATTCCATCACACAGTTACTACTGACGAACCAACACGTAATTGTAGACCTGTAAAATGCTATGGAATAGCAACAGACTACAATGGTCCTACCTTTTATTGTTCCTAATTTAGGATGACAATGGATAATTTAAAATTCAAGAGTTTTCAAAGAAGTAAGATGAGCATGAAATCTGTATTTCTGAAAGGGTTATTATTCATTTAGACTACATCACCAACTGGGATCATGTACACATTGGAATAATGGTTAATGCCAGCTGCACAGTATTTACCTTGAAAGGACTCCATGTTGTAAAAGAATAAAAACCCATACAGGTCCTCAATAGTTATGAACAAATGAATATTTGACTTCAAATGAACATACTACTATTTTGTAAACACACCAAAGTATGTGTACTGCAGAACCAATTTCACTTACCCAGTAGCTAAGAACTAGTTATGGAGCTTGTAATGTGTGTGAGAGAGAGAGAGAGAGAGAGAGAGAGAGAGAGAGAGTGCGTGCGCACTTGCGTGCATGCTCACATGTCTAAATCTAGGGCCTTGTGAAAGTTCTACCACTGAGCTACATGCCCAGCTCAGTTTTATTATACATATTTCCAGTCAGATAAAAATGAAATGTCATAGTGAATGTATGTGCAGAAATGTTAAAATATGTACCTTACATACTTGTGCTAATATTACATAATTTGTCCCTGTACTGTTTAAATACTTGCTCCTCTGAAGGAATTGTATGAGTTTCAACCTAAGTAACACTATATTTATACATAAATCAGTACAAAAGATGTATTTTATAAGTGTGAAATATAAAATAACGTCACTTATAATTAACACTTCAGATGTTTATATCTTGTATATAATTTCATATAGGAAGTTGGGAAATTGAACATATTTTCAAGATATATATTCTATTTAAGCCGCATGTCCTATCACCAAATACTTGCAGAAAACTGGGCCTTTTTCATACTGTAAATAACTTTACACCTAATTCCTGAAATTTGATTTAAAAACCAAACCAAATAACAAAAAATGAATAGTTATTTTCAACAAACCTATTTTATATTTTCCATTCTAGTCTACAATTATACTATAAAATGAACATTTTTTTAACTTAAAGTAGCCACAATACGGCCGGGCAGGGTGGCGCATGCCTGTAATCCCAGCACTAGGGAGGCCGAGGAAGGAGGATCACTGTGCGTTCGAGACCAGCCTGGGCTACACAGTGAGTTCCAGGTCAGTCTCAACCACACAGTGAGACCCTATTTTCCATTCTAGTCTACAATTATACTATAAAATGAACATTTTTTTAACTTAAAGTAGCCACAATACGGCCGGGCAGGGTGGCGCATGCCTGTAATCCCAGCACTAGGGAGGCCGAGGAAGGAGGATCACTGTGCGTTCGAGACCAGCCTGGGCTACACAGTGAGTTCCAGGTCAGTCTCAACCACACAGTGAGACCCTGTCTCAAAAAAAAAAAAAATGTAGCCACAATACTTTTATATTCCTAAAATAGAAAACATAATTACAGTATTCACATGTATTAAAAGCTTCTACTTCCTATATACATATATAT